ACACGTCCGAAGTTGGGGCGGATCGCTGGTTAACAATAAAAATTACAATTAACAATTTCATTGCTTCCAGCGGAGATCGAACCCGGATTTCTCGAGTGCTGCGCAATTTATTGCAAGCTCCTTATTTCGCTCGGATTTATTTACGTAATCCAACCCATAAAGAAGGTAAATATGTTGTTCCTGGTCTATGTGCCAAAAACGTCAAGAGGATGGCTGTCATAGTGGCAAGTGGTTGACGCGTCTTTGACGCAGTTCTCTTCATTGGTCCCGTTTTCTTTGCTTTTGGTGTGACAGATATGAACTGATCTGAACATATTTTTCTTTCTAAAATGGTAAAGTAAGCTATTATATCTAAGAGTGCAATTTGATTTTGAATTTATTGTTGTGCACTCTGCTACGAGTAAGTCGAGCCGGAAGCACAGTCTGTACAGTGGCGTTGCAGGCCACTGTGCTGGTTTGATTCTCGTTTCCATTAACCAATCTTTCTTTGGTCTACAAATAACTGTCCCAGGCGGTTTTTTGTCGGTGTAAAAATTTAAAACAAAATAATTAAAAAATTATATAGAATAAAATAAATATTTTTATCGTTTTAAGCAGTAAGATATGTAACCGGTATTTCCCTTGTAAGTAAATACTAAAATACTAGTTTACTTCAGGAGCTGTGGTCGTACAGATTGGCAGCGCTCGTTGTAAATTTCACAATACGCGAGCAACCTGGGTTCGATTCCCACCGGCACCAATGAATTTGTAATTGCAATTTTAAGTACTGATTTACCTCGTACTCGGAGGTGAAGGAAAACATCGTGAGGAAACCTGCATGTCAGAGAAATAAGAAAAAATATTTCGAAGACCTCTTAAGTTCGCCAACTCGCCTTGGGGCAGCGCGACGGATATTTCCTTTCCGGAAACCCTCTCAGAAATGAGAGGAGGTCTGTGCCCAGCAGTGGGACCTATATAGGATGTAACTTTACTTTTCTTTATGGAACTGCCTCATTAATCTAGTGGTTGTAAGTACGACTATTGATCTTGAGGTCTTGGATTCGAATACCGAGTCGGGTCAAAATCAGTAGTTGGGTTTTTCTGTCGAGAAGTTCTCAGTAGCATAGCGTAGTCAAGAAGATGGCGGTGTTTAAACCTCCGTGCCTCAGAAAGCACTTAATGCCATTGGTCATGCCCCTGATCCCACTCCGGTCATGTTGGACTGTCGTCCTACTAGACTATGAGGATACTACTAGAAAATGTACTATGAACTTTTCCTTCGCAGATGGCTGTCTTAAGACTGACCGAAGTTAGGTCTGGAGGACGTTATTATTATTACTAGTACAGTAAAGTTACAGCCTATATACGTCCCACTGCTGGGCACAGTTTTAGGGCAAGGAATTGTCCGCCGCGCTGCCCCAGTGCGTGTTGGCGAATTTCACATGTTTTCGAAATATTTTTTTTTTCTTATTTCTCTGACTGGTTTCTCTCTGGTTTCCTCAAGATGTTTTTCTTCACCGCCGAGCACGTGGTAAATCAGTACTTAAAATTGCAGTTAAGAATTTCATTGATGTCGGCGTCGATCGAACCAGGTTTGCTCGCGTATTGTGAAATTTACAGCAAGCGCTAACCATCTGAGCTATCACGGCTCTGTCATTACTAGCTTAATAGTTATTGTCAATGGATTTAACTTCTTATAATAAGATAAGCATGGCACAGGCAATAGGACCGTAGGGCCAAGTTACTTTCGTTAAAAAAATAATTAATGAAATAATACAAAACAACGCTTTGCTTACGATTATATTTTGTTTGTATTTGCCCATATCCGTGGAGTTTCCTATATTGAAGTGCCTTAGTAGTGATAAGGCAAATTATCTAAATATCTTTTTTATAAAAATAAAATCCGTTATCGAAGGCATAAATTGTCTAATCATTCAAATCGATCATCTTAAAGTGTCGGACGTGCGCCGTGACATTTTTTGTGTGAATCTGTGCCTAAAAATTATTATGAACGAGATACGTGAAGACGATCAATTAGAGGTATGGCTTAATTTTATTTAAATGTAACATCAAAACTGCTTACTTGCATTGCAAAAGGGAAAAATAAATAATTGTTATGAGATTTAAAAGTACATCATTAAAGGTGTATGTTAGTCAAAACTGCTATTCTCGGACAAAACTACTTTAGTGTGTGACCGACAAAAGCAGTTATTTTGACTAGATTTTGGTCAAACGTAGTTCTAACTGAACAATTAATAAAGACTTTTATTGAAATATTTAAAGTAGTTAGTAGTAGTAGGTTTAAAGTAGTTTTAACCCAGATTATTCACATGAAAAAAAATTTTTGATAATTTACAAAACGATTGCCAATCGATTTTAGTACAAACTTGTTTTTCTTACACTAGACTAGCTTTTCTTTAACGCGACAGGATTACTAAATGTCTGCTGCTGTGGGGTGGCCCAACCTCAACCTATTGTCACTAATACAAACTTGGGAAACACGTGTTGTGAGCCGTGGTAGCTCAGTGGTTAACGCTCGCTGTAAATATAACAGAACGCGAGTAACCCGGGTTCGATCCCCGCCGGCACCAATGAAATTGTTAATTGCAATTTTAAGTGCTGATTTACCACGTGCTCGGCGGTGAAGGAAAACATCGTAAGGAAACCTGCATGTCTGAGGAATAAGAAAAAAAATATTTCGAAGACATGTGGAGTTCGTCAACACGCATTTGGGCAGCGCGGCGGACACTTCCTTGCCCTAAACCCTCTCAGAAATGAGGGGGAGGCCTGAGCCCAGCAGTGGGACGTATATAGGTTGTAACAAGACGTGTTGCAAGTTTGATTATCGTGTGTACTGAGTTTTTTTCTCTTCCTATGGTATAGTAACGTTACATGGTATAACAAAGTAAATTATGTTATTCAAGATGTACAAGTGTACAGCAAGATGAAGGTTGAGATCTGGTTTTAAAATCCCTTGTTTTATATATCTCAAAATAAACGTTTATTGAAGGGGTTCCGGTATCAGATTATTGCCTATAATTTTTTAAAAATTTCGTTCATTAATTCATAACAGGTTATCAAACTCCTCGACTGAACATAGGTCTTTCCATCTAGAGTGCCTCATTCGGTGTAATTTGCCATGGTCACAACCCTTGGCATGCGGGTTTACAACGGCGGTTTTTTTATTTCCTAGTCGATATCAGAAAGATTCCCTTCTCCAATTTAGTTTACCTCTGTCGCCTCTTACGGTAGTACTATTATTTATTCTGTGCCCACGGGACCATATAGGCTTGTGAATATTCTTACACCGTCAGTATGCGGTCACTAACGGTTTCTTACGTTGCGGTGTTCGTAATAGTAACACTATCGAATTAATACAAGACCACAATTCAGATGCCAACTGATATTTTTTCAAGTTTTACACATTTATTTAATATTTTAACTGAACAATATTATTAACTTTGTAGAATCTAGTATAGCCGTAATAAAACAACAAAATATATAAACAACGTGTGTTTAAAATCTCAAAGTTGTCATCTTTGTATAAATAACTGCTGGCAACGGATATTTATTGGATAGTGTTAACCAAAGTGAATATAATCACTACGTTTAATGACGATGGCGATAATCACCGGCGATTTTTCCGGACCGATACGACCAGGGGACCCTCAAGAAAAGAGCGTACTCCTTTCTAAAGGGCCGGCAACGCACCTGCAATTCCCCTGGTGTTGCGGTTGATCATGGGCGGCGGTAATCACTTAACATCAGGTGAGCCGCATGCTCGTTTGCCCCCTCTTCTATAAAAAAATGATGAAGATGCGGGACTTCTTTAATTTAAGTAAATGTAACGGGTGCCAAGCTACTCTACCAACATCAAATTTTGATTTTTCATCATTCAATATCATGTATATTGAATTTTTGACAAACAGTGCCGATAATATAGATGAATTATAATAGTACCATAAACGACTATCTTTCATAGATGTAAGAAAAATACCTATATATAATAAATAATAACTATATATCTATTTTTCTTAATTCAAAGCTGTCTTTGAATAATTTTTTATCGATATATTGTCTATCGATATTTTTATATAATAGAAGTCAAACCTCTGTATGGTATTATTTAAATTAGAATAAATAAAACACAAAGTTTTTTACGTGGGGCTTAAGTAAAAATGCCGGTCAGGGTAAGAAATCAATATTTTACACAAAGCTATTTGTTGAATATTATATCTTTACAATTATTTTATTTATACACAATTTATTGCAGTTACAAAGTATGTATAAGAAAACAGAAAAAAAAAACAATTCACGATTATTAGTAATTAAGTAAAAAATAAATGACAACTCCGCTCTGTAGCGCTAAGCCAACAAAGCTAAGGGTAGGAGGGTTAGAAGCGTTTGGCTGCGACACAGCAGGACCGATGAATAATTGCCGCACTGAACAAATGTTTCTATGTCCTAAATGAATAGTCTGAATCAGGTGTCTTGTCTTTGTACAATTTATGTATGTAAACTATCTCTATTTCCTTCTCTTTAACTAACGTAAAAGTTTGTTTTGGAAAAGTGAAAGGGTAAAAATAATGTTTTTTAATACTACGCTTTTATCACTGGCTGGAAAAAGGAACCACTATCCCGGAAAAGCGTAGCAAGGACTTTTTTAGAATGCCTCACAGCCTGTAATTTTTTACTTATCAGACTGGAACACAGCAGTGTACGCACTTCTACTTGGCGTCCGAAAAAGGAAAGAGTGCTGGCTCCCGCCCGGACTATTCCTAAATAGGAAGGGAGTCTTTCACCAAGCAAATAATATTCTTCACTGCGATATATTTCGAATATTCTCGAAAGTTCTCAAAGCTATTATATTGCCTTGGGTGTGTATTCAAAACTCGCTCAGACCTAGTAGAAAGTAGAAACATTTAGATTCATGACCGACTTGCTAAGTAGGTACCTTTGACCACCAAATCACACAGTCGTGAACAATTTTATATACTATAACATATCTGATTTTGCAGGACATGAAAGAAGATAAGAGGAGGAAGGAGGCCGGTGACAGTGACGCGTTGGAGTCGGTTTTATCACATGTGGGCGAGTTGGGCTGCTATCAGAAGCTAATGTTGGTTTCGATGTTGCCATTTGGCGTGTTCTTCGCGTTTGTGTACTTCAGCCAGATGTTCATTATGGCAACACCGCAGCGGCACTGGTGTCGGGTGCCAGAACTGGAGCACTTGAATATGGAGATCAGGTCAGGATCAAGATCATAATATCAATGCAGTTAAAATCCTCGCCTTTTAAGTTTCTATATTTATTTTTAAATATTTTTTTATTGTTGGGAAATCCTCTTAGATACCTTCGACTGTGTGGGCAAAAGAAAGGTTATGGCGGACACCTACCGGCACGTCCCGGTGGCAGTTCTTACTGCCCCAGTGTCCTCGCAGTGATATGACTGTGCTTGGGACCACTTCCGATTTACCGTTCTCCTTGGAAGTTACATATCTAAACGTTCGGGGCGCCTGCCCCAAGCGTCTGTAACCCCAGAGGTCCCGTTTCCGGTATGGGAACATCATCATCAAGGGGAGGGCCGTCGTCTCTGAGCGGGATCTGTCTTCTCCCGACACCGCTCAGCAGCCTCCTTCTGGACCATAACGAATCCACAGAAGACGGCTACGGCCCTCCAAGCCGAGTCCCTGTTCAGCATCGCTGACACGACTGCTGGCAGCAAGAGGTTCTACCGATCCGGCTTACTAGAATAATTCGCTCTCGTTCCCGCGCTGGACATGTTGCCAGCGTATGGTATGCAGAGTCCTGGTCCTGCTCACCGCAGTGGAAGCAGTTCGGCGTCGCTTCGCATTCGATGTTACACAAATAATTATCAAAGCACCCGTGTCCGATCATTATCTGCGTAAGTCTTCCTGTTCGTCGATGCATCGATGCGTCGATGCATCGATCGATGCAGGCTCCGAAGTGTGGCAGGATTGCCTCAACAAAGCGTTTGCGCGCATAACGCTCTTCAGAGAGACGAGTGCGCCACTTTGCGAATGCGTTAAGTCGTTCCTGCCGCTTAACTTCTTTGAACACCTTATCTGGACGCCCCGTACAGGGCTACGGATCGTATCACTCCTGCATAGAGGCAAAGCACTTCTTCGTCTAGATTGGGTAGCAGTATATGCATAGCACCCGCTACCCTTTTAATCCGGGAGACTAGGCCCTCGAAGTGTTCTTCGAAGCTTCAACGACTGTCCAGGTGACGTGTGAGGCCTAGGCACTTCATGTACCGCCCACCCTGACTTCAGACCTACCACGTGAATGCGTCGTAATTTATGAAATCATAGTGCTTCGATCTTGGGAGGCGCTATTTCTATTCCTCACTCGTGGATTTTAGAGACGATGACTTCCACCCCAAGTTTGGCGAGCTCTTTGGCCCCCTCAAAGGTAACCCCGCTGACAACCACCAATGTTTCGTCAGTATAGCAAACGATATCTATGCCAGCGCGAAGGTCAATTCCCCGAAACGGATCATAGACGAGGTTCCACAGTACCATTCCCAGCACCGTGCCTTGCAGAACCCCACGTTTGATCTCCCTCCGGATTTTTCTACCATTTTGCCCCATGTACAGGATGTACCTGTCACACAAGTAGTCCCCGACAACACCTTGCAGGTAGGGGGGCACCTGATGGATTACCAGTGATCTTCTGATTGCTTCCCAGGGTAAAGTGTTGAAAACGTTGACGATATCGAGACTTATCGCCAACCCCGTGATACTGCTTGTTCCGGCAAGGAGCGGACGCACATGATAACATGTAGAACGCTCCCGTCGGCTATTTTTAAATACTTACTCCTCGTTATTTTTTGCCATACACATAATGTCAAATATCAACATCTTTTTTATTTATTGCCATTTAAAAACGAAGTTCCCCTGCCTGAAGAAGAAATTGTGAAAGAAACTCGGCAGGTATTCCATTTTTAGTCATTTTCTAAAGCATACAATATTCTTAATCAAAAATGAAAAAGGAGTAAACCTGTGGCAACCAAAACCTGTCCCTATAGTAATAAATTTGGAAAACCCAAAAGTGCACCCCTGGATCCCTCATATAATTATCAAATATAAATTAAAAAAATTGCAGAAAGTTATTTTCAAAAAGACTCGTTAATATTTCGTAGTTAATAAAGGTTTCTTTAATGAATTTTATAGGTGTTATCCAAAAGGTAAGTAAAAACTTTTGGTAAGATGTTTATTAATTACTTTAGGGCCAATTTTTCTATCCTCTGGTAACACTTATTGAAAAATTAATACTATATAGATCAAAAGTACAATTAAATGAAAAAGAAAACAACTCAAGTTCCACAGTTCAGTTGTTTCACTTTTATATTCAGTCAGGTTATATAATTTATTTGATGAATAACTTAAATTTGACAATTGAAAAATCGGCCGTTAGTTATATTTGTCACCATCTTAACACGCATACCCACTGACCAATTGACGAAACAGTAAGACATGATTTAATAGCATTTTTGTACATAATATATAATAGTCAATCAATCTAAGATTAAATGAAAAATTATTAAAAAAAATAATTAAAAAATAATTTGAGGATGAGTATGGTAATGATTTTATTATAAAATGAAAAAAAAAAGGAGTACAGCAATGATTTTCGAAAGGAAACCAACTCTGATGATTTTTAAGATAGTGAAAAAAATTAAGTCATTTCGTCAAGTCGTTCAAGAGATATTTTGGTGACACCATTGAGCTATTATGTACTACGTACTAGAGGAGACACTGCATTCAGCTACTCTGTTCCACTCAACTGCGGTGCATGCACTTTACTCAGTCACTCGCTAGGCGCTTGTAGAGTTGTCACGTGTTGTGTTGATTTAAAAAAAAATCTCTTGATAAAAATATGCCGTCTTGTGTACTTAGATATTGCACAAATAATTCAAGAAATGTCAGTAAAAACCAAGGAATTACTTTTCATCGGTTAATAAGATACTTATTCAATAAAAAAGTATTATAAATTAATAATAAAAAAAATATTCCTAAGACGCCATCTCGTATCATTGAATATAGATTATGAAATTAATATGTTCAGATGCGACATTTCTGTGGTACTTAAATTTAGGACGAATATATTATTATACACATTTTTTTTGTAGAAACATATAAGTTATTATAATTAGGCTAAATTTTTCATGTTTAAATCTGCTTACTATTCTTTTATTTTATTTTTAGGTTTCCACTTCAAAGTCAAAGTGGAATAAATTCGTCCATTTTTAACTCTCGCGTGCCCAGCATTTATGAACGATTATTTACAGCATTTATGATTCTAATTTAAATAAATATATTTGTAATTTAAATTTTATGTTAATAAGTTTTGTTAAACATACATTTAGTATGTTTTTTTATATTTGACATAGATACCTTTTAAAATATTCAGATAAAAATATCGTTAAAATGTAATTGTGATATAATATTATGTAATATTATATTAAATAAACAAATATAATATACAAAATAAATGACAAAATTTAAATATTGTTCTCTATATAATTTAGCTATTTAACAATACAATCTACTATTACCTACGGATCATTCTACCTACGTTTATTCTATGATAACAAAACCAAACGCGCGAACACAGAGTAGCGCGCATTTTTTGTTTGAGATAGCTGTTCTAGTACGTAAGTACATATTACTTCAATGGGTAATACATACATACTAATTTTTACCACATACTCACAGACGGCGTACTACATATTGCAAAACTTAATAATAGCATCAGGCTCATTCAATAGTTTCCATTTATATACTATTAATTTGCTTCTACTCATGTGTTGGTATAGTATAAAAATATTAAACCTAATTTAATATGAGCGGGTAGCGTTATCTTGATAAGTCGAAAATAATATAATATTGTATACGCGGTAGAAGAGCCACACTACAGCTATATTATGGACATCACGATTAGGTCGGCATGACTGGGGAAGCATCACGCTCTCACAGAATACCAGCGTAAAATAACTGCATAATGTTGCCGTGTTTCATATGGTGAATTCCCTTTTTAAAAACCGAGGCATTTCATCTTAGTACTCTGGGGTGACAACGCGTCCACACTTGGATTCTCAATCGTGAGTCATCCACTTACCATCAGGTGGACTGTGTTATTATAGATCATATGTATCAGGTGTGCAATTATAGAACAAGTAATATATCTACAAAATTAAGGTTAGTGAGTTGATGTTGACGATCCTTGGGGGAGGTTTATGTTTAGCAGTCGACTTATTATTGTATAATAAGCTTAATGTATAGACGTAAGCGTAGCATAGCCTCCGTGGTTCCAGTTAACTTTACAGCGCATAAATTAGTAAATTGTTTCGGATGCGTAAGCGTAGCGTAGCCTCCATAGTTCCAGTTTATTTCAATGCGCATAAACTAGAACTGTATCGGATGCATAACTGTAGCGTAGCCTCTTAGTTCCAGATTAATGTGCAAAAACTAGTATTGTATAGGATTCATAAGCGTAGCGTAACCTACGTGGTTTTAGGCTATTTCGATGCGCATTAACTAATATTGTATGGGATGCATAAGCGTGGAGTAGCCCCCGTGGTTTTATTGTGCATAAACTAGTATTGCTTTGGGTATTGGATGTGTAAGCGTAGCGTAGCCTCTGTAGTTCCAGTTTATTTCAATGCGCATAAACTAGTATTGTATCTAATACATAAGTTTAGCGCAGCCTCCGTTGTTCCAGTTTATTTTATTGCGCATAAACCGGTATTGTATGGGATGCGCAAGCGTAGTGTAGCCTTTGTGGTTTAATTTCTATTACGATACGCATAAACTTGAACGCCACACATTCTTATCATAACTACGGACTTGAAAGTTTTGAAACTTGTCCCAAATGCATTTGTGGTTAATATTGTAGATATCATGTAATGTCACAGACTAGATAAACTTTTACAAGAGCTTGCGTTGTACATAACAAGGACATTTGATCACCCAGCAACCTTCTTTTATTGCATTAATAAGTAAATCACTGTTATGGAAAAGGATTATCTATTATCATTATCATTCATTTTTACTTTATCGATATTTGTATGATTCAGAAAGATATTGAAACTGAGCAAAGTAGTAAACAATAATGATAAATATTTAAATGCCGAGCCCCCATTTAATAATGTTTTATTATCATATGTGAATCGGTAAAAGTATTTGTATCTTTGAACTTGGAAAAGGTACGAGGATAACAGAAAAATTTGTATTGTCCACTCATAAAGAACGTAATGCCGCGCGCGGACATAATACGATATGGTTGAATGTAACATCTTTTTAGACACGATACGGATAGTGATTCAATATGATCAATATGGTGACATAGCTTCTATTTTTGGATTTTTAATCCAGGATAGATGTAGATGTGGTGGATTGTGTACTCCGTTTTCACCCTAATTATATATAAGATATACATCAAGATGCTCAAATGTGGATGCGACTTATTAATTTTTTAAATTTATTTAGAGAACCACAAACAAGTTTATAATATATCTTATGCTAAAGCTTATGTTCTATTACAATTTCTTACTTATTATAAACTCAATGACGATGGTCACACATAGAGTATAAAAATAAGATAATTATGTGAGGGACCTAATTTTGTAAAAAGAAGTAGGTACCTTAATTTCTAAAAAAATATTTTAACATATATTAGAGGTTTAGAGTTTAGAATATAGTGTGTTAGTGTGTTAGCATATGTGCGCTCGCGCGTGTGTGTGTCTTTATGCATGTACATATAATATAGTCATTGGTTAGATAATTTTATTAATATCCCCCTGGATAAGGAAAGCCTAAAAAAGTTTTTTAATCAATATTTGCAACCATTGTTATAATACAGGCTACAGGCAGGTGAAGTACAGACATAATATATTTATTATATTAAAAATGAAAATTTGTACTTTCCTATACAATTTATCCGATCACGATGAAACTTTGGTGTGCTCGCGCCCGGTTACAACTAATGCCGGTCCCAGTTAGTTTATTAATGTTAAATTAACTTAAAATATTTGGAAAATCCAAAAACCTCACATGGTTATTATATTAAAAATTAAAATGAGATGAAAATAGCGACGATAATTTTTCAAGAAAGAAAACTGAGAATTTGATCGACTTTCATTAATAACTTTTAATCCTAAGGGATCCTCCTTAGAATATATGGAATTTTATTTAATACTATAGATATATCTCAAGCTATTGCTTCCATTTGTATTAAGCGAGAAGTCTCACCGACGCACAGACCAACGGACGGCAGTCCATATATTTTTTAAATAACGATTTTATGTAGATAACTTTTAGTGAGAAAAAAAGTATTTTGTTGTGAAAATTGATAATTATATGATAAAAATGAGTAGCTGGAGATCTACTATTTGGACTTACTTTAGAGTATTTTTTACAAGCCATTTTGCTTACAAGCGCTTGCTAGCGCTTTATCTGCCAAACGCAGCCATTGTTTCCTCTTCGTATTCGTACTAGATACAAGCACAAGCTAGTAATAACAGTTACACTACTGCAAATGGTCCTTCGTGGGGCGTAAAACATAAAAAATATAAACACTCACGCCTGTTACCCAAAAGGGTAGGCAGAGACTACAGACTTCCATTTGGCACGACCCTGACACACCTCTCTCGCTTCCTTCACATCCATACACCTACGCATACATGCTCGTCGGTTAAGGATACTCTTAAAAAAAATTAGCCCATTTTTAATATATTGCCATTTTGGTTGATAAACTTTTACCTAGATCTTTCCTTTCCGACTCTTCCGTTCACTTCTTTAATATAATTTTGCTTTACTCTTTGCTCATTCATTCTTTCCACATGTCCAAATCACCGAAGCATTCCTTTCTTAATTCTGGTCACAACATTGTCAACACTGTCACTTAGATTCAGCCCTTACATACTCCTTAACGACCGCATTTCTACTGCGTTTATTCTACTTTCGTGCTTCTTCTGCCACACTCAAATTTCATTACCATACGTTAAAGCAAGGGCTAACACAGCATTGTGAATTGCCATACGTGCCTTTTTTGACACATTCTGGTTCTTCATAATAGAGTTTAGTGCCCCATTCACTCTATTCCCTGCATTTACTCTCTTCTATATCCCTATCATATCTACCATCCCTGCTAAATACACATCCCAAATACACAAACTCATCCACTTGCTCATTAACTCTCCTTCTATTCTTATTTCTATACTTTCTTTTATATATATCATATCTCCCATCCCTGCTGAATACATACACATCCTAAATATACAAACTCATCTACTTGCTCGACCAACTCCACTTCCATTCTTATTTCACATATCGTTTTAGTCTCTTCTCTTTCAAAAATCATTACATTCGTCTTACTTGCATTCACTTTCATTCCCCTTTCTTTTAATGACCTGTTCATTAATGTAACTATTATTTGCAACTCGGCCGCCGACGACGCAAATTTTGACTTGATCATCGGTGTACATACCCATTCTTAAACATTCTTCAACTTTCAAATTTTCCAAACAATTTTCCATAAATAGGTTGAACAGCCACGGGGAAGCCAGACAGCCCTGTCTGACATATGGGGTAATGTACGCTTTTATATGAAAACCATAATTATCTATTAATTGATAATAAGTTCTGAAATTTAGGTGATCACTAACATGTTTTTAAATGTTTTCATATTAAATTACACAATATATTATTTTGTAAATCAATATTTAAAAAAACATGCTGCTATTTCCCAGGAAAGAGGTTTTATTTCAAACTAGAGGTGAAACATAAATTACTTTCAATAAGTATTTTTAATCTATGGTAAATAAAATTATACGTGGTACAATCACGCTGCAGCTATATTATGGTTGTAGCATGAATGTTTCGGCTCGACCAGGGAAGGACCATGAACAACAGAATACCAACGTGCAAAGCCTGTGTTTCGTATGGTGAGTCTAGAGAATCGGAAACCCTTTTTACTGGGAACGAGGCACTCCATCTTAGTGCTCAGGGGTGACAACGCATCTGAATTTTAATTTTTAATCGAAGATATATGTAGATGTATATGGGCCACAGCACCCACTTACCATCATATGCTCGTTTATTAACCTTATTCTATAAAAAAATTAATTTTATTATCGAAATAGCTAATAGAATTAAATATGGCTGTTTACTTCAATGATTTAAATAGTTAGATGCGCCTTCACCTCGAAAACTGTGGCATTATTTTTGAAAGTGTTCGTTTGCAAGACGCTAACGCGCGCACACTAATGCAATAGTTTCATCTCTTATTATCTTACAAAAATTGTGTATACTTCTTTCTCTGTCGCACAAATGAGCACTGATTGCGAATGAGTGAGCTCACTCGTTTGAGTATGGACACATTTCGGAGCGGTCATACTATGGCAAGGGCGCATCTAACTATTTAAATCTTTGGTTTACTTAGGATAAGCTAAGCGGTACCGTAATTTAAATCAATCTATCCATCTATTACAGCCTATAAAAGTCCACTGCTGAACATAAGCCTCCCCTGATAGATTGCCTCGTAGGGGTAATTTTACCATACTTGACATGCTCGGCGAGTGGATTATCAACCGCATTTTTTGTTATTTTGAGTTGTTATCAGGAAGATGCTGCTGCCCATCATTTCAATACTTACTGATTACTTAGGTTAAGCTGGACGTACCGCACGTTAGATATACGAGTACGTTATCTAACGTGCGGTACGTTCCGCTCTGTGCATCCCAGCTAAGTAAAGTTACTTAAAATATAAAATTGGAGATGTTTATTGTTACAGGCGAAATCTATCAATACCAAAAATTGAAGATGGGTGGCAGCAATGCGTTATGTACAACGCCAACTGGACAAGCGTTTTGGAGACAATGGTTGCGCCCGACCCCACCACACACACTGTACCTTGTCGAGATGGCTGGGAGTTCGAACTGGGTGATATCCCGTACCATACAGTTGTCAGCGAGGTAAGAACTTTTGATAAAATATTGATGTCCGATTCCTATATTCTAGAAACGCTTCGTTCTCTGTGACCATAGAATATTATAATACACAATAGAATGAATGTCAACCTTATTTTGTACGAGGATCGGTGTCGCCAGGAGCACACATACAAGCAATTACGTCGTATTAGAACTACACTACAAACCCGGTGCGCTGCGTTGACAGAATGAGTAAATTTACACATTAGACTTTTTAATAATGTTTAAGATCATCATTAAAAAATGGTTTAAATTTTAATATATTTTTATTTGTAACTTGTGTGCAATTTGCAATTTTTAAATAAGCAATTTGCCATTTTTACATAATTTGCATGTAACGAGGCTTGACTCGAAAATTAGAAACGATTGTAATGTCAAAAGAGATGTTTTGACATTTATAGGTGTGAATTGACATGTTAGTGACATGTTAGTGGCTACACGGGCTCCGCCCACTCCCCCGTTCTATTATGTATATATTATAGTATTCTATGTCTGTGACGATCTGTTTTATTACATACGGGGTGCATGCACAGTTTAATATTACAAACTATTCATTCAACAACTTAGATTGGCATAGAATGAATAACTTTAAACAGTTTATAAATAGTTGAACTAGTTTTTTATTATATAAAAGGGGTTTTCGTGCACTTAAATTACTGCAAAGCGGCTCGGGACAGTGTGTCAGCGAAGTTTAGAAAGGGGTGACGCACCGCCACTAGCCTTGTGTATTTTACGCGAACCATATCGAGGTACTTTCGACGAACTCAACTGCAAAATTATTTTACGATTTTCTTCCGTCAAATGGTAGTGCTTGCACTGCTGTGTTCCGGTCTGAAGGGTACGGAAAGCGAGTAAAATTACACGCTGTAAGGCATTCTTATTTTGAAGTTAATTGCAGATGTCCATAGATTGCAGTAGTCACTTACCATCAGGCGGACTTTAAGTTCGTTTGTCAATTCAGTTATGTATATTAGTTAAAAAGGTATATATTAAAAAAGCTACATACTTATTTTGCATGTTATTTAATATTGAAAAAAAAAGTTAAATTTTTAATGTCTGCGAAGTGCCATTATATTCGGAACATATTCCGAAACGTTTCCAGTATACTGCTGAATACAAATAACGTCATCAATAGACGCCATATTGTACTGGCGTGGCGCCGCCATATTGTGTCGGATATCCGGCCATATTAAAACAATTTTAAATTGCGTGTACGCTGAATGAAGCATGCCAGAATTTGTTTTTATGTAATCAAATACAAAAAATTATAGAATAATTGCTGGTATCTCCATTAGGAGGATATAATGATTTTTGGAGCACAAAATGATAAAATAATCACCAACACTTTTCCAATATGGCGCAAATGTATGACGTCATATACTGTCCTATGTTTTGGAACGAATCACCAATATGGCGTCGATTCATGACGTCATTTGCTTTGGACAGTACACTGGGTTCTATTTTGGAACATACCCATTATTTATTGACTAGCTCACTCTATTTATCGCAATCCGAGACCACTTCTGGGTGATACGTGTAGGAGTACGTGTACCTAAAAAGTTCATCAAAATTTTTGCTTATTTATTTTGATTGCATCAAAATACCCTCTGTATTTTGACATAGAAACTTGAAATTTCAAGATATAGTTTATAAGGCGTACAAGTAATGATCTTAAATCTATAAATTATCGATATTCGGTGTCTACAAAATTATTGGTGGTAGTTTGGTAACAAACGACGTTCGGGTGGTTCGGGGATATTGGTGCCTGAACGAGGGCCAAGTTACATATCAGTCTCAAATATTTAGGAGTGTACAATGTTCTTTAACTGATTTAAAAGAAAATTTGTTACGTTCTTTGATATTGAATTTTATAATTCTTTTTTTAGTAGTTCTATTTTAGTAAGATATAATTAAGTGTTGGTTCACATATTAAAACAGAAAGGTAAAAATATTGTTAATATAAAAAATATTTATTCTTTTGTTTATTAGCGCGGTTGGGTCTGCGAATATTCCAGATATATTCCTCTGGCGCAGACCATATTCTTCGTTGGTGCCTTGGCTGGAGGCATAATCTTTGGCTGGATAGCCGACAAGTTCGGTAGAGTGCCTGCCTTGGTTGGTAAGATTTTTATTTAAAACTATGTAAAAATCGCTACGGTTAGTCGAACTTAAACAAAAGAAAAAGTTTAAAAATAGATTATCTATAAAAAATTTAAGAGTGATTTATCATAATACTTGTCAAAGGAAAACATCGCAGAGAAACTTAAATGTCTGGGAATTTAAAAAGTAATTTAAATACTTATTGCTTTCAATTGCCTCTTTAAAAAACAGGAGACCCCAGTTCAACAGTTGGGCCTAGCTGTAACACATTTTACTTTCCCTTACTCCATCACCCCACTTCTTTGCTCAGTTATGAAGGGAGCCTTCTCAGAAATGAAGGGAGGCCTGTGCTCAACAGTAGTACTACTTAAATTATACATGGTTATTTTTCAAGGAGTAGCCATCTTTAAACTTATGTTCAAATATAGTGGTTGACTATTTTTACTGCCTGGAAAATAATATGGTGTTTTGTGTAAGTGGAATAGAAGCTATCCACAAAAGTGTTTGTAAAATATAACAAAATATAACTAGATAGGCAAAATTTCCGATTATCCAAAGAACACATAAAGACAATTAAATCTACGGCGTTTACGTAAAACTAAAAATTTGCTACGATCGCTAGTGAATGAAAGTCGTAAGACGGATCGAGACGCATGCACATCTTTCGTTATGTAGGCGCCAAATGACAGAGTGGGAGGGGAGCGGCCGACACATCATTTTTAGTTCAACATTTTTAGAATCAGTTGACATAAGAGAAAAATAATTTTCTTATCGTACGATACCAAAATTATTTTTTTCTTATAAGTATTTAAGTACTTTTGGTATTTATTTTTAATTTTGACTGACTCGTTGGTCCAGTGGTTGTAGTAGTGTGTCAGCTGCGTCTTTGTAAAATATTTGTTAAACTTCGAAGCGTGTCACTATCACTTCTTAACACATTAAATGTGTCTATTATAAGCTGCTTTAAATCACTAATACTTTGTGCTTCTTCTGTGTACACTATTTTTTTTAGTTCGGCCCACAAATAAGTCTAGAGGTATTTGGTCTGATGATCTCGCCGGCCAGTTTACAGAACAACCTCGAATTATACACCTATCACCGAATTAGCTCGTCATTGTTAGATACTCGACATTAGAGTATTGGTACATATTTACGATACACACGCGAAAACATAAACAATACGACGGCGACTCGACGTCACGCCTTGACTAACCAAAGGTTAATGAAATGAAAGTTAAAGGTGCGGGCGGCTTTGCACTTGAGCTTGTGACCGTGCATAAGGACATTGACAAAGATGCCCACTAAATTTATTGCTTTATTAGCGTTCGTAAAATAGGGTGGGTGTGATTTAAATTTCGATAGATTTTAATTGATTTATTTATTAAATTCAAAATTATTGTTTTTATTTTTTGTAAAATATCAGTGCTATAGATTTCTACTTCATTCACCTGTTACACTCTATTTTTTCCAGATGGTAAAAATACCGTTATTACAGTTTTAAAAATACTAGTAAATAAGGTTCTACTTTTATTTGAAATGTGATTTATGAGCACCAACGTTTTTGCTTTCTGATCGACTCTTACACACATTCAGTGGGTGTAAACTAACATTAGTTAAAATAATGCATTGCCATGCACTTTGAATTTAAAAGATAAAAAGGACAGAATGATTGAAATTTTTTTTATATTACTTTTTCTTCACCATTTGCCTATATTACTTATTCTGAACCGTCTTGAAAAATTTGGCCGGTCATTGCAAAATTAACCTGTAAAACTTTCTATGAACGCTGTAATTTTATATTATCCCACCACCGAGTCCGTAGAAGTTGACTGCAGGACATGAGTTTTATTAAGGATTTGCCTAAGTCGTTATGATTTGCAGTCGCCGTACAATATTACACACCTATGATGGTGCGCCTCGGCACTGTTTGAGGTAGCAATTCAACATTTGGCGTAAACGACATGGAATACCGTCATCTATCGTAAGCAATAACATTTTTCTGACATTTCCAAAAGTCGCCGCTTTCGACGCACAGGAAACAATATGGAGTGATGGGTTACGCCACTACCACACGGCTCTATTACTACACGTGTAATGCTAGAGTTCATTTTTACAGCTACAAACATGATGGCTTGTGTGGGCGGACTGGGCACTATATACACTACCGGCCTGATGGATTTCATCTTCTGTAGGTTCCTCGTTGGAATGGCCTTCGACAACTGCTTCATGATGATGTATATACTAGGTAAGAAATAATAAGTCACATAATGCAGTCTTATATCAGTAGTCTATGATCGATTATGAATTTATAACGTTTGCCTTCATATATTATTTTTATTCCTATATGTTTAGATTATAATTTAGTTAAACTATCGCCGTGTAGGGGCAGCATAAGAAAATTCAATACCTCACTTCATCCCGTGGGTATCGTAACAGGTGGCAGAGGGAAATAAAACAAGCGATGGGTAACACCGTTTTTTTTTTGATTACAGCTCAAAATAATAAAAATGTGATAGCCGACCAGCCTGCCAAGCGTAGCAATTATGGCCTGTATTTAGCAGTAGACGTTGAGTTTGTAATCATGATTATGTGTTTAAAACATGGATTTATTTATTGTTAACGGCTTAGGGTTCGTGATAGTAAAACTGCCGATTGAATTACCAAAATTGATACTTTAATTGCCGAACACCAATTAAAACTTAATTCACACTAATAATTAATCACACTGATCACTTTAGTTCACTTTATTTCGCTCCGAAGCTTCGCTTATATCGCCAATTCAATACTTCCCCGGTCGTGGCCCTAAACGGCTTTATATAGGCCTTTTCCACCGAAACATCTAGAATATTCCAGCAAATACCGGTCCCGACCGACTATATGCAGAAAATTCGAGTGTGAAGTTATCTAAAAAGCTTAGTTCTTCTATTCGATAGTAGATTACGCTAGCGCCATGTACCAGACATCAGCTGTGGCTCGCATCATTATTATTAGTATTGTTTATCTTCCCTGTAACATTAGGACAAAATATTAGAGATTACTCTCAAATTTAAAAGTTACTTAAAATAAGGAATATCCCTGGTACCGATTTTATGTTAAAACATTAATAGAACAACAATAACGCAATAAGCAGTTAGAAGTTAATACAAGATAACACTGTGTGGTGGCACTGGCACGCGCCACAAATGAACTGAACAAATTGAAGCCTAAATTAGTGAACTACTCAAGTATATAGAACATAGTGCACACTACATATACATACGCAATGCATCAGCTGCTCTCCAGGATGAACACTTTGCTTGACGGGTGATCCCTCCGTTTCCTGAATAAAAACAGATAAAAACGTAGAACCAGCAACACTGTGTATGTGACATAGGGTAGCCTAGTCTATTTGCAATAAAACCTCCTTTGCTGTTTTGTTTGTAGTAAAAGAGTTACCACAACCTATGGAATCACGTTATCGATACTAAAATATTTCGATACAAATTCCATAATACCTACCCGCACAAAATCCAGTTCCTGTTAAATTCAAATTCAGTTTGCTAACGCAAAACAAGTCAAGAGGCATGTGGCCGCTATACTTTTACTAATGCAATAATGCATTTCAATAATGCAAGTAAACACTTTCAGTACTGGAATACGTAGGACCCCGGCACAGAACTTGGGCGGCTAACATGCCCATCGCGCTCTACTTCGGTGGAGGCTGTCTACTGCTCCCGTGGCTCGCCTACTGGATCTCCGACTGGCGCATTTTCTTATGGGTCACATCCCTACCCATGGCCCTCTCTCTCTTATTGCCCCTCTTCATACCCGAGAGCGCGAGGTAGGTAATCTATACTAAATATATTTCACCTCTCCTGCTTTCTAAGTATAGGACTATATTAAACCTTTAACATTTTTTTCAATCCTGACAGTCAGTTATTATAGATATGTCAGATTTTTAAAACTAATATTTCAGTAAATAATCGGTCAGGTAAAATGTTTATATGTAATATCAAACGGATTGACGAAACCGTTTCCCAAGCGTCACGATTTCAAGGGCTAGACGTCCTGCACTTTTGACGCTGCTGCCCCGCCGCCTAGGAATCAGCCGTGGGTATACCGCCCTCTATCGAAAGCCATTAAGTAAACCATATTAGTATTACACTTGTCAATCTTTCATTTATATTGACCCGATCGTTCAAGTATTGATTCGTCATACGATCCGGGTCATTCGGGTCGGGGGTACAATTATAGTTTAAAGGTTCTATCCATCGCTTATATCGTTATAAATAATAATGCGATGCAACCGGGGTCAAGTGATCGAATCTTTCACGATTGAAACAACTTGGTAATTGACCATTATAATAAATTTAAAAATTTTCAGGTGGCTCGCATCGCGAGGTAAAGTAAACCAAGCTGTGAAAATTCTGAGAAGGTTCGAGAAAATAAATGGAACGAAGATCCCCCAAGACGTCATGGACGATTTTATTGTGAGTGATATTTTTAAAAGTAAATATCTGTAATATAATAGTTTGTGTTTTTTTTTTAAATATAGGAGTATATAAGTAATACCAGCATAAATTAGCGGTTTACGGCTGCTGTTTTGTATGTTGAGCTTAGAGAACCGGAGACCCTTTTTACTGGCAAGGAGGCATTCATTAATTGATTAAGCTCTCACGATTCCAAGAGTCGTGAGAGCTCTCAACTTTGCTCGATGCTCTCCTCCTCCCCTAATCTCACGTGAGAATTTTTTTAAATTATTAATATTAATGAAAATAAGTTAAGCTGTGCTTTATTGCGTTAGAATTATTTTTTTAAAAATTGCTTAATTCTTTGTATTTAAGACTAGTTAAAATTAGTATTTAAGACTTCTAAGAATGTAGTCTAAAGTCAGAGAAAATCGAATAATAAAATACTAAAATCAGTAAAAGAATATCCATTCTAATTCAGTCCACGGAGACTCGTGTATGATCTCAATACTGACTACTGGAACCAACATATCCATGTAATTTTCAGAAAATTCATTTGCTCGTTCAAATTCGCTCTAATTTAGTTACTCTAAACAACTATGATCGAGGGGCTACTGTGCTGCTTTAAGTTAAACTGCGATAAATATTATTATATATGATTTAGCCATATTTAGTGAAGAAACATTTTATACTTAATTTAATCCAGTTTTCTCGCAATTTTACACTTAGTTGTGGAAAAAAAAACAACGTGATATTTGCCGAGACCCCCCTCTCCCACACGTGAGTTTGAGTGAGGTTCGGCTCGACCCCCTCCGAATCCTAAACGACTTACGTAATTAGTGGACACCTCCAAACGAGACACTCCATCCATCTCAACGCTGACAATGCATTTGCATTTTGATACTTAATCGATGATAAATGTAGATGTCTATTGGCCACAGCATAAACTTACCATCACGTTGGCTGTGTGCCCGTTTCACCATTATCCTATAAAAAAAACTTAACTTTAAGGACACGATCAAAAAGTTTTGGCGAACTTTACTGCAGGAGATTCGGCGTTGCACTGCACGCACTTTCTTTGTATTTTTTGTAGATTTTATCACATTAACCGTATAAAGCGTCATAAATTCTAAATTTGCACTGCTTTTCCATAATTTTTCTCTCTTTTTCTTTAATTTTCTATAATGAAGTATTGGGTTTTAATAGATTTTGGCACTTTTACTATATCTGACACGATAAGAGCGATTAAATCTACCAAAAGTACTAAGACAGAGCGTACAGTTTTAATTAGATATTCTCTACTGTGTTTGCCAATCCCTGTGTGGCCGTGGAAGGAAAAGGGGAGATCTCCCGCCAGGCAAGGTGTTCTGCCCGGGGAGCGGCCAACACTCCATGTGATAGTTCGGAGATGTTCTATATATGCTGTTTATGATTCGGAATGTTGATAGCGTGATTTAGGCTTCGGTATGTTTCGCTTGCGGCGCGACGACAGCGCCGCCACATCACCCCCCTGCTCAGACCAGAGATCGATAGTGCAGTCCGATTGCCGGTGCGTCCTTAATACCGGTGGGGAACGCATGCTGTGTGCGTAAGGGCAAGTGACACCGGTGCGAATGATATGCCGATATGTAATGCATGCCGTACCACGCACTGGCAAGTGATGCCGGTGAGAACGATGTGCCGGAGCAAGTGCCAGAAGTCTGCCTTATAAATCTGCAGTGAGTCGAGACGAAGACAAGTTGGACTGGCTTGCAGGAACTGAAGACTGCAGAAGACGATTCTCAGTAGTGAATGGTAGGGGTTCTTGAGGATAATGACGAAGGCTTGAAGTTGTAGTTTCCGAAGGTGTTTGGTTGCGTGTTCAGATCACGTCGGGGTCACCACTGTGGCCGTGGAAGAAAAAGGGGAGATCTCCCGCCGGGCAAGGTGTTCTGCCCGGGGAGCGGCCAACACTCCGTGTTATAGTTCGGAGATGTTCTATATATACTGTTTTATGATTCGGAATTTTGATCCGCTGCCACACCTGCGAGTCGTAACAATTACGGCCAATTCTCAAAATGAGAGAAGTAATTTCAGGACTGCTACAGCCTATATTAAGTTTATGTTGGAAGTACATCGTGCAGGAGAAGTAAAGAGTTTTTTTAAGAGTTATGAAGCAAATTCTCTAGTTCGTATCATTTCGAAGACTTAGAAAAAATACTACATAGATACTACATACAAAAAAGCATTAGAATTAAGAATAAAATAATTAAAAATAAATTCTCATATGTTTTTTTACACATTGTAAACCAGTAAATACTTGAAATTTCACTTGTTTCGATTGCTTTCTAAAACATAAGACCCCGAGTGTTCTTTTTGTTAACTATAAGGTAACGGGTGCGTTGTGATTTCATGCATTGCAGTCTATAATGATAAAGGCTTTGTTACTCCTCAAATCAGTAGTTAAGAGCGTATTAATCCCATTCGACTTCTAAGCCGAAGCTTAACAAAGCCTCACATCATAAAACTCAATTTCCTTTCTCAGGTGTCGTCAAGTCAAACCCGGCAGACAGGCGAATCCATAATCGACGTGTTCAGGAGCGCACCGCTCCGCAACATGATGATTTTCATGATCATGATCTACATGGCGTGCGCGCTCATATTTGACGGCCTCGTGCGCATGTCCGAGGGTCTGGGGTTTGACTTCTTCATCACGTTCACCCTCACCTCAGCGACAGAAATACCGTCCGTCACTTTGCTCGCGATTGTACTTGACAGGTGTGTTGATTTTTCAAAACTTAAGGCACCTGCACGAATTAAGTTGACAACATCGACTTTACTTAAAAATATTTTTTTTATGAAAGTAGCAGCGTTACAGCTTATCATTTCTTCCAAAACCAATATCAATCTTATAATTAACTAATCTAGTATTTAAATGAAAATAGCATCTTACTAAGCGATACGTGCGGTGACGCACGGCCTAATTCTTAGGAGTGCTTATAAAGCAGATATTAGAAGGGTCAACACTCTTAACTTCATCCTCCCCAAGAGAAAAATTATTCGAAGGAGATAAAGTTGACTTCGGAGAATGTTGTCTCTGACTTAAACTATGAAATTTCAATTTAACTACTACAATTTCTGCACTATTCATAATTTATTTTACGTCACTGAAGTCTACGTTTGTTAAATCCAACTTTTTTTCTTCTTTCGCCACGTCGTACTGCACCTCCGGAATCTTCACAAGTGGTATTTGCAGACTGGCATCTGACATATTGCTCGATAGGCCAATTATTTTTCCATTTGTATGCTGCAACCTGTCCCATGTAGATTAAATCTTGTAGTATCATCTTCGCACTGCTCCGTCAGTATAACATCGTCTTCTGCATAGAGTATCCAGTGGTTAAGAGTTATTTTCTGTATTTTCAGCATATCTAATTTTATTTGATTTTGATGGCAATGGTTGAAGTTGTTTTTAATCCGCATTATTTCCTCAATACTTGTTTCTTCATCAACTGATGCCATATTTCCCTCCAAAGATAAGTGTTTGTTCCGTTCTATTTGGGTACAAGGTCTTACTACGTTTCTGTATTTCAAACTATTCACTAATAGGTAAGGATATTTAGGAATTATAGTATAGGTGTTGGTCAATTTTTATAGGGATGGGAATAACCTTGTAATAGTTAAACGTTTCTTTTCTATGCATAGTATTCCTAAAAAAAATACTAATTTATCTTTATCTATTTTATATATTAGGCTAATGTTACTTTCTAATTTTAACGAGTTATTTCTTGTTACTGGGTAAATAGTTTGTGCATTTTGTTTTACTGTTTTAAAAACATTTAGTAATTGTGTAGAATTAATGATGAATTGATTAAGGGTGCATAATGTACTGAATGCTATGGCGGTTTCTATTTCTTGGATATTTCATAAATATAAAGAAAGTTATTAAGAATTTGCTAAAGGCTCTTCGTTGTGCGAATGAGATTGTCAGTTTTTGATTCCAGTTTATCAACTAAACTTTTACTATCAGCATAAAGTGCAACTTTTCAACGTTACTATTGATAACATCAGATATATTGGTCAACGCATTAAATGCGTTTTTCATTGAGGATATTTTACGTTCTACTAAGTTCTCTTTAATTCTCAAATTTGCAATTTCCTCGTTGAATTTGATAGCATCTTCTGCCTCTCAATTAACTGATATAATTTTTATTATGGAATCCAAAAGAATCGTAATGGCTCTTTTTATTTTATGGCTAGGACTTATTTGATCATATTTGCCTTGAACTACTTTAACCAATCTATTGGTTTTTGTATAACTAATAGTTCTTTTTCTGGACTGATTTCTGTTACATTTGTATTGATTATGTTGTTATTACATGTTGGTATGTAATGTTGTTGTTATAGTTATAATTGTACATTATTTTTAATTTGTATTCTTAATGCATTTATCTCTACCGATTTATAAACTGCTCAATAACTATTCCTCATCACTGCTGTTCCTTATTTCAGCGGGGTTATTCTCGGGTTCAATTCCAGATTTTGAAGTTCCAGGTCGTGTATCTGGTTCACAAGTGTCAAAAATACTAGCCACGACCTGTGAAGGCAGTTTTATATTTTTAGCAGCTACTCTAGTTTTTCCTTAATTTACCTCTACTGGGACAATCTTACGATTTGTTTCACCTATTACTTTTACTTTTTCACAACCTGGTAGTTCATTAAAAGTGCTTGTAAAGCAGATACTAGAAGGGTCAACACTCCTAACCCAGGTGCATACATTTCGCGTGCCCCAGCTTTTCTTATGTTACTATCCGTATCGATCCTAACATCACACGGATATCCTTTTTCATTATAGAGCGTCTATTAATTGTAAGGTGTTTACGTCCTGATGTCATTGTTAACGAAGCTTACTTTCAAATTTTAACTATTGATTTTTGGTCTTTTGCGTAGATCAGACCAAAAATAATAGTTAAAAGTTGGAGGTAGCATTCTTTAACTATGACATCAGGACGTCAAACACCTCAGCTCCTCTTGTGATCATGGGTTCTGTAAAGTGCTCGAAACGTCGGAAATTAAAAAAAGTTAAAATAAATCGCGATATAATCCGTAAAATTAATTATATTTCATGGAGTGACCCATGTCCCAATTTGGTTTTGTATGAGTAGATCGAGAAAACTATAGAGATAACCAAAGCCTTTTTCATTCACAGATGGGGTAGAAGAAAATTAACAGTCGGCCCTATTGCCTTTGCTGGAACCCTTACGTTTATTGCAGCATTTGTGTCAAAAGGTAAGGTGTTCTCCATACATAACTAATGTATTGCGGCATAGGGTTTCCATATCATTCAGGAATTTCCAAAAGTACAAATGAACTTCGGCATACATCATTATCTTTTGTACGTGATAAAGCCATGCTGCAGCTATTTTATGATTGTAGGATTGTAGCACGAATGGCTCGGCTCGCTATATATTCTCACAGAATTCCTGCGTAAAAAAGCAGATCCTTGTTTTCAGGGGTGATAATTGCATTTTGAATCTTAACCCAGGATATATGTAGAATATCAATGGGCCACAGTATCCACTTACCATCAGATGGACTGTGTGCCCATTTGTCACCCATTTTCTTTAAAAAAAATTATAAAAATTTCGGTACTGGATTGAATCGGTCAATCAAGAAACACTCTGAATGAAGACTTTTTAATCTCGAGTAAGACGAGAACCTGTAATTTAAGAGTGGTTTCAAAATGAGAATGAGAGAAAGAAAATCCTCATATTTAGTAAGTTAATGTATAGGAGCGTGCCGTGTCGAGTAGTGGCGGCGAAGGAGAATAGTCCATATCATTCCATATCATTCCACTAGTCCATATCATTCCGTGGGTGTCTTAAGATTTGACACAGGGAATTGAAACAGAAGATAGGCAGTAACATCTTGCTGTCCAGCAATAATAATAAAAACTACCAAGATTAAATTTCGCATATTGATTAACGCTATGTATTCTAATCTTAGAGTATAAAAATGTTAAATTGAATTTATACTTATATCATTTTGAATTAATATTTCTAGCCTTAGGTAAAAGTATAATGTATATTCCAAGATTATATAACTGTGTGTTGCTGGTTCACGTAAATGTGCGTCTGTGTACATCATTCCCTTTAAAGTCGGAGGATCTGAACAGTTGAGGTAATTATAGCTTTATCGGGGTCTAAATAGTCATTCTTAATACTAGTTCTGGGGTATCAGTATCCATCTCGGGGAATACCAATACTCTCACTAAAGGGTATTTGATGATCCTCGAATTTAAGTATCTTATTGACAATTCTTTTTTATATGGTTTAACTACATCAAGTTGCGAGGAACATCTGTACAAAAATAGTATAATCGCTCAGAAACTTCTATAGCGTGATTCGGTACCAATGCATGGTTGCGGTGCTGTGACCGATAAACATTAAGGGTATGTTCCTAAACGTTTTCAGTATACTGCCGAATATAAATGACGTCATCAATTGACACAATATAGTACTGTACAATATAGTACTGGCGTGCCGCCGCCATATTGTGTCGGATATCCGGCCATAATAAAACAATTTTTAATTGTGTGTGCGCTGAATGAAGCATGCCAGAATATGTTTTTAATTATTCAAATATAAAAAATTATAGAATAATTGCTGATATCTCCATTAGGAAGATATAATGATTTTTGGAGCACAAAATGACAAAAAAATCGCCAACACTTTTCCAATATGGCGCAAATGTCATCGCAATGACGTCATATACTGTCCTATGTTTTGGAACGAAACACCAGTAAGGCGTCGATTCATGACGTCATTTGCATTGGACAGTACACTGGGTTCTATTTTGGAACATCAAGATTAAGATCTTGATCTTGAACATTTTATATTTAGTAGTTTTAGTAATAATTTTGTCACTTTTAATAAAGTCTATAGTATATAATAAAATTCCATGACGCCAGCTTTACGATGCTGTAATAAACAATATTCGTAAAAACAACAATATTGTAAATCATCATCATCATTAGAGCCTATCAGTGTACACAGCTGAACACTGAACTTGCCATAGCTGTCACGCTCGACAAGCGTGTTGGCAACCGCAGTTTTTTTTTCTAGCTTTTATCAGGAAGACGGTGCTGTCTATCTACTGTTTTTTTTGTGTTCATCAATTTATTTCGACAGAGGGAATCAATTGCGCGAATTATATCCTTCACTATTACTGCCAACACCGCTACACTAGGAACCCTAAACGAGACATCATCAGTTGAAATTGACTCTGCGGTGGCTGACCGCTAAGTGAGTGTGGATATGACGCAGATCTAAGCTTATTAATTTTTACATCTTTATTGTAATTGATTACTGCAAAGTAACACTGGATTTACAACATGAACATATAAAATATTCCACTTAGAAACTTTATATGTACATGACAAGAAAACCTCATCTTCAGTATCAGTAGTTCAACTCTTAAAATGATTTATATTCAATTTAACTAACTGAGGAAAATAATCCAGAGCTAAAAAAAAAAAAAAAAAAAAATATATATATATATATATATATATATATATATATATATATCTTATGAGGTTGACTAGTATAATATGACGTTATCGGCTGCGCTAGGGCTGCCGCAAGTGATCCTGGCGATAGCCGCGCGGTTCACGGTGAATATGGCGTACAACACGGCGGTGCAGTGGTCGGCTGAGCTGGTGCCAACGGGTGCGCGCGCCTCGGGCTCCTCGCTGGTGCACGTCAGCGGCTACGTCGCCACCATGCTGTCACCCTTTATCGTCTACTCGGTAACTATACCCTTGCGTCTTTACAATCAAAGACTTTAACATATACTACTAGATGGACACTACGGTACTTATACATTGTGCACTAAATTACGGACAATTCTCTGTAATTTCCTTAGTCGATTGCGAGCGAGCAAGAAGACCAGTTCTTTGTTTTGTAAACCGCGAACGTTATTTTCGACAATATAACACTGATTTTGTGATTAAGAAAATGCTAGTATGATCATAGTGAGCACTTTGTCAACGTGATTTGACGTTTATTTGAAGTAGCAACTAGCGATTCGCCCCGGATTCGCATGGCTGAATTTTTGTATTTCTATAACAGTGCGTTAAATTGTTATTCTAAAACATTCAGGGACCCACTCAAACGCACCCAAAAAATTTAATCGAAAATTTTCAAGTCGTTTTTTAATTTTTGCGAACTCACGGACAGCAATTGATTTTGATATACAGGACATCCCGAAACTCAACGTCAATCGGATACGGGGCGATACCTAACTACCTAGCAATGATGAGATTGTCTGGTGAAAATTTAGACGGTGCGACGAGTCGATATTTACCCGTGTTGAAGTTTCACCTTGTGAAGTGCCACCCTGGAGGACGGAATAGAAGAGCTTCTAAAGGACTTTAAGTATCGATTTTCCACCCGCTTTCAGAAGCTCCGCTGTAATTCTATCCTCGCCTGGGGACTTGCCGTTTTTAAGTTGCTGGAGAGCCATTTTAATCTTATTCAGACTGATGTCAGGGATATCATCGGAATAGTGTCGGATAAAACTTGCTCTTGCATCGTTACTCACACTTGCGTGTGGCTCCAACGATGACATGTACAGCTGCCCATAGAACCTCTCAATCTCACTCAGAATCTCTGGTGCCCCGGAAACAATTCTGCCACCTTCGGTCTATAGTTTCGACAGTTAGCTCTTTCTGGCAGACAGTTCTCTGGCAAAGACTTTGAAGCCCTAATTCCGCTCGATCGCTTCTTCAATACGAGTTGTATTGAAGTTGCGTTGCTCCCGCCGCATACATTTGGAGATCTGTTCGATCAGTTGCCTGTATTCTGCTGAAAACTGATAGACTGCTCGGACCCGACTAATTGAAATGAGATTAAGAGTGTGATCGGAGAGTTTTTGTGTTCTTCTGCGACGGATCTTACAGAACATAGTTCCGATCGCATGGATAGTTTTCACAAAGTTGTCATTGATATCGTCCACTTTGTTGTAATCTTCTTTGCACTGAAAACGATTTTGTAACTCGAGCTGAAAGTTATCGGGGCTTTAGGTTAGAGCACAAGGTTCATGGAGCCTTGTCTTCATTAGACGTGACCTCTCCAACTTCACGTACCTTTCACCATTTGGTGATCGCTGCCAATTTTCACCCCTGTAATCACTGATACATCACTGAACAGTTGTCTGGTCTTCATAATGAAGTCTATCTCATTTTTTGTCGAACCGTCGGGGCTCGACCAGGTCCACTTTCTGTGGGGCCGATTTTGGAAGAATGAGTTGATCATAAAGAGTCCCTCTTTCACCATGAAGTCAACTAGCTGCTGGTCCCTTGGTTTTCGTTGCACTATTCCGAATTTCTCTACTTGAAAGTAACTTAACTTGAGCTGAAGCTCACAGTTCTCTTTTGTGCCTAGTTCCCATTAACACCGTATGGCTCAAGATATATCCCCATATGTCTCCTCTACTGCCTCATTTTTTACGTATAATTATATAAAATAAGGAAGTAAAGTGGCAATGGGCCGGCCATATAGCTTAAAATACGGACAAATAATGTATAAAACGGGGCTTCGAAGGGCAGCCTCCTACGTTAGTGAAGTGGCGGCCCATAGGAATTTATTTGATGGATACAGGTCCTTTTTATAGAATAAGAGCGACAAACGTGCACAGTCGGCCTGATAGTAATTGGATACTGGGGCCCATAGACATCTACACCTGTCACCACTTAGGACTAATACGAAATACCCCGTTGCTAGTAAAAAGTTCTTCGGTCTTCTACACTCACTGTACGAAACTCAGCAACATTAAGCTGCTATTTTACGCCGGTATTCTGTGAGAGTGACAACAACCCAAAAATAATATTAATAACCTTAAAATATAAATGACTCTGACCGAGTATTCCTTATAGGACATAGCTGTACTGATAAATAATAATACTAACCGGCCCAGATCATAAACATTAACTCTATTGTTTACCCAGTTAAAGTTTGTATAAACTAATATAACACACATTGATCATGAGCTGTGGTGATTCTGATCAGGGTACTCGTACTTGGATAAAGTTCCTAAAATATTATTTACCATCGGTCCTTGATACGAGTGCAAATTTTCAAGTAAATTGGCCGTCAACAAGTTCGTGAAAATTACATTAAAATATTCCGTTACAAAGGTAGATAGATACACGCAAACTAATAAAAACGTGTTAAAAAGAGGTTGTTGTTTTGTGCGGCAGGAGCGGTTCTGGAAGCCGCTGCCGCTGCTGCTGCTGGGCGCGGTGGGGCTGCTGGTGAGTGGCTTCGGCCTGCTGCTGCCCGAAACCAAGGGCCGCGCCATGCCGCAGACCATTTACGAGGCTGAGAGATTCGTCACGGCGCACGCCCTATGCGGGTAATACAGATTTCGCTTTTCTTTTAGTCGATTGCCTCGAAAATTAAATTATATTTTGCGAAAGTAGACCGGATGATCTTCTTATCTTGAGGAAAAAATTAGAGTTTCACAGGTAAACCAAGTAGAAAAAATAAACAATCAAAAACAAAGAAATAATCATGGGCACCCTACTTTACGCGTGGTTAGAATCAATGAATTTGTAATGCCCGCTCTACACTTACTCCGAAAATCGCGCGCGTCATCGTGGCGAGAAAATACCACGAGAAAATCAAAAAAAATGATTTTTCCCGTGTAAAGCTCACATAGTTGAAGGACAGCAAAAGGAACTTATCTTTAACTATACATAGGGCATTAGTGTGCTATAATTATGCATATATGTAATTGTGTATTACAATATAATGGGATATAAAAAAATAGCTTATGAAATAACGCAAAATGGTGAATTATAAGTATTCATTGAAATAAGATATAGAAACTTCCATTATCGTTAATTTTTTTTGTAAAATTTTCTGTGAAAAAAATCTTTAAATATTTTTCTATTAGGTAGGTATTAATTACAAGTTATTTAATAAATAGCAATAAATACCTAATTAAGTGTCTAAATTAATAATTATAATGTATAATAGGTACATTTATTCTCAACACAATAAAGATTTTACTATGAATATACATATCTAAGTATTTTAGTATAAAGAAGATTATTTCTGATTTCGTTTCATATTACATAAACTAATATCATCAAATGTTGCTGATACTAAGCTGAACGGATGTACTGATGGAGCCTTATTTGCACTAAGTTTGCACTTCTTTCAAGTCGTGCCTAAGAAAAACTTACAAAACAAAAAGAACAATGTATGAATTTGCGAATCGGTTCCACATTATGTGTTAGCACAATGATCGCGCCTCTACACACTTCTTCGCCCGCGAATTTCAGACTTCGTGTAGAGCGGGCATTACGTCCTTAACCTTCAACCGGCCGCTAGATTAATAAGTTTACTACAAATTAAAAACAATAACATTGAAAAATAGACTTCTACTTTGCTTATTACATCCCCCACTGGGCATATGCCCTCCCTCATTTCTAAGAGAATGAACAATAAAAATTGCAACTAACAATTTTATTGGTGCTGTCAAGGGTCACTCACTTCACTTGCTTAGGAAGTTTAAAATTTTAATTCAAGATCCACTTATTTTTCGTAGCTACTATAGTCTTAAAAGAATAAGTGAAGTTACAGCTTATATAAGTCACGTCGCTAAGCAGGCCTTCACCAACCTTATCGACTTCGGCAACTTCAAGTTGTCGACAACAAGTTCCTTCGTCAAATCACAGGAGCTCCCTTATATGTAAGAAACGCAAATCTCCACCGTGACCTTAACATACCCACCATCCATTCGCTACAGGAGAGGTAATCCGATTGTCCACAACACACACACGCACGCATGCACGCACTCACGTATGCACGCACGCTCGCTCGAACGCACGCACGCACGCACACACATTCAGACACTACACTAGTACAGAACACTCGAGCACACCGTGTTCGCGAGGTCATAGACACGCCCCGTACACGAGATTCAATACTCGTGATATGGGCGCTTTTAGGTTTTCGACTCGTTTTCCCACATTTTCGATAGTTATTCAAGCCCTTGAATTACATCGAGACCCCTCCTATCTCGAGGAGCCTCACTCAAAAAGCAAGAGTCGGGGTACCTCGGGACTGCAGCCGGCAGAATCATAGATGAAATTGTAAAGGCCGCAGGGCCAACACAGACCAGACCGCCGCAATGATTCAGTGCATGTTGGCATACTTCACATCGTTTTTGAAATATGTTATTCCTCAGACATGTAGGTTTCCTCACGTCTTCCTTCACCATCAAGTACTATAGTAATTGAGCATTTAAAATTGAAATTAATAATTTCGTTGCAACCGGCGGGGATCGAGTTGGTTTTTTTAAAACTGAAGTAACAAACAAACTTAAGGATGATTCACGTTACACCGTGTCGCGACCAGGACGGGCAAATCTTAGCATACTTTTTGTATGAAGCGATTCATGCTTGACCGTGGCCGGGCTTGCCCCTGCTGTTCGCTGCCAGGAATAGGCCGGGGCACGGCGTCGAAATATCGGTGGGTATTGTTTTCCGGCTCCGGCTCGGCCCGGCCCGATGAATCTTTGAAATGTGAGCAGTTTAATATCAAAATGGACAATGAAAAATTGCTAGAATGTGTGCGCAAACATCCTGTAGTTTACGATATGGTTCAAAGTATTTGGATAATAAATACGAAAATGTTGTATGGAAAACAATATCGATCAATGATGGCAATTGCCACAGCTGCCAATTCAAGTTGTGAAAATCGCATATTTAGCTCAAGCATCACGTCTATCGACTGATGAAATCACTAGTTGACACACATACAAACACATACACGGCCGTGCAAAGAATGCACGCAAACAGCCGGGTGTAGCATGAATGTCTGGCCCGGCCAGCGCACGGCGGACGTGCCCCGGTTGGAGCCCGGCCCGGTCGCGACACGGTGTAACGTGAATCATCCTTTACAGTTTATTTGATGGTAAGTGGCTACAGAAGATCATGGACCACCTGCAGCCAACTTCAAACAAAGAATGCCACAGATGCACTATCACCTCTGAGGACCAAGATGGAATGAAACGTTGTGCTTTCATACCTACTCTTTAATTGGATGCCTCCCAGCCTGTAATTATACGAACGCTCTATACCCTTCAGACCGCGACCCGGCTCGACAACACTAAGAGTCGATACTAATAACATAATTTATACTTTTCAGGAAAGCCGAAGAAGCTGAAATTGACGGGAATGAAGACGATTTGAATAATGAGAAACAGAAAGCTCTCATTACGTAAAGACTTGTTCAGTAATTAGATGGTTAGGTGCAACTCGAAAAAACCAACAGGCAGTGTTTTTAAGGTGGCGTAAAATATTTTACGCATCACCCACTTTGTCCATTAAGTGGTCGGTCGAAACACGTTTAATTGTGTGGAAATAACGCTAAGTATTTATTAATGTACTTAACTTTTTTGTAGTATTTACAGTCATTATAACGCCATGAACGTACTTAATTAAAATGATTTCATTTAATTGGTTAATGCATTTAGTATGGAAATCCTGTGTGCATGTTCACTTTATTTGTGCTTATATTAAGGGCAGCATAAATACATGATTTTCTATTTTGTACACATCTGTAGCACAGCTAGGGTTGCTAACCTTAATACATATTGCATAATACCCTACTATATTAAGGGTCCAAAAATTATATTTCTAAAAAAATGTATATGGTGCGCGAAACTACTTTTTATCCCGATATTTAATATGGCGCGAGCCTGTCAATAAAGGCATAAATATTCTCGTTAAATATCAATTTGAAACTTCATTATTACCATCATCATTGCTAAAGCTCTTCACTATTCCAGGAATACCACAAAACATCCCCCTGAATCACTTCCATATATCGACTTCCTTCATGCCTATCTTACCAGGCCGGCGCTCACCAAAAAATACAATATTTCGAAAATACTGTTTTTGAAATAATAAAAATTGGCAACCCTAAGCACAGTCTCTTTTAAGTGATAAGTTTTATTGCTCTATGGTCTCCTTTTATGATAACTACTAAATAAGTACAACAGTGTTTGTTGTTCAAGTATTAATATAATATTTTGCTCAGTTGTAAATGTTATACCTGTAAATTAGACGTATACTCACATTAACATATCGATGAGTGGTAGATACACCTTTTTTTTTTTGGAGATAATATACTGTCTAAAAACTTAATATATTATAAAAATACAGACGAGATGTGTTGCTTATTGAATCATTACTATAACATTAAAGACATAGTTACAACTAAAATTCAAATAAAAGTAAAAAAAAAATAGTTTTAATAGGTACTAACTGTGCCCAGGAAGGATTGCAATGCGTGTTTTTGTCAGAAATCGCGGGCGCGGGCGCGAAAACTTACTAAAATTTCATCGTAATCGGATGAACGTATAGAAGACGACTAATTTAAAAAAATGTACAAATATTCATTCGTGTATATTTAAAAAATGATTAATTACAATAGCGAAGTATGAACGCACTTTTAAATCAGTCAGTAATATAATAAATAATTTATACCATTTACTGTGATATTAAGTCAATATTGTACAATAGATTATTTTTTTCTTATTTTAAACGTGAATAATTTTAACATGCATTTAATTTTAATTCACAATAAAATGTATTATAATAATCGTATGTCAATTAACTAACTCCATTTGGAAAGTGTAGTCTTGTTTAAATATTAAGCAAAACATTATTTTTATTTTTGTCACCTAAACATTCTAGGTGCACTTTATTATGTAAGTGAAATAAAGGTATTTTATTAAGTCACATTATGATGTATTGTGCTCCATCATCATTATTAAAATGTATCAGTTTAGATTTTAAAGTCATAATTCAATTTTTATATCTTTCTTTACAACATATTTGCGTTAACTGTCATTATAGAAACGATAGCAATAAGCAAATTATTTATTACATAATATCTATATTTGTGAAATAAATTTATTTTGATAGACAATTATATTTTTAAATTTTAAATCATCACCTTGTCAAAAATATTACTTACAACATATTATTATTACATAAATAAAATTGAAAAAATAAACGAAATTAGAAAAAGTAATGAAAATGGTGAAATTTCGTTTAAAAGTGGCAGTTACGAATAATTGCTGTTTTATTTCGCCAGTGTCTACCCTATAAGTAGGGATATAGGAAGATATACAGTCCACTAAGTACATGACTGACGTCTGAACTGGAACCATTCCTTGGGGACCATAATCTTAGTCACTCTGGTTCTACTGCGGATATCCTCATTTCTAAGTTTATCACGCAGAGAAACTCCAAGCATAGTCCTCTCCATAGCTCGCTGAGCGACTTTGAGCGTCCTCATACGGCCAGCAGTGAAGGACCACGTCTCAGTTCCATATGTCATCACTGGCGACACGCACTGGTTGCACAACTTAGTTTTCAGGTTTTGAGGTATACCTGACGAGAAGATATGTCGTAATTTCCCAAACGCTGCCCAGTCGAGTTGAATCCGTCGATTGACCTCTCGGTCGAAGTTGGACTTACCTAGTCGGACTATTTGTCCCAGATAAACGTACTCGTCAACAACTTCGAGCTTAGTGCTCCCAACAACTACCGGCATAGGTGTGACATGGACATTAAACATGATCTTTGTTTTGTCCATGTTCATCTTAAGATCTATCCGTTGGGAGGCACTATTGAGGTCATTGAGCATAGTTCTTAAGTCCTCCAGCGATTCTGCCATAAGGACTATATCGTCGGCAAATCGAAGGTGAGTGATGTACTCGCCATCGATGTTAATACCGTATCATTTTCAGTCCAGTAGCTTGAAAACTTCTTTCAATGCAGCGATGAAGAGTTTCGGGGAAATAACGTCACCCTGTCTTACACCTCTCTGCAGTTGGATAGGTTTCGAACTCTGGTTCTGTACTCGGATAGCCATCGTAGCCCTACTGTACAAACATTTCGGCACTTGGATATACCGACAGTCAACTTGGCACCGCTGAAGAGACTGTAGCACCGCCCAAATTTCGACGGAATCAAAGGCCTTCTCATAGTCCACATACGCCAGGCAAAGTGGCAGATTGTATTCTTCGGACTTCTGTAAAATTTTCCGAAGGGTATATATGTGGTCTATGGTACTAAAGCCTTTTCGGAAACCGGCTTGTTCGGCAGGCTGGAAGTCGTCAGGTCTGCGTGCGAGACGATTCGTAATGACTCTCGAAAACAGCACGTAGACGCGGCTCAGAAGGGATATAGGTCTGTAGTTCTTTAAGACGGCGTTGTCACCTTTTTTGAAGAACAAGACCACCGCACTTCTGCTCCACTCCTCGGAAGTAGTGCCGCCATGGAGGACGGAATTAAAGAGCTTCTGAAGGACTTCAAGTACCGGTTTTCCACCCACTTATAGAAGCTCCGCTGTAATTCCATCCTCGCCCTTGCACTTGTTGTTTTTAAGGTGCTGGAGAGCCATTCTAATCTCGCTCAGACTGACGTCCAAGATATCACCGGAATAGTGTCGGAGAAGATTTGCTCTTGGATCGTTACTCACACTTGCGTGTGGCTCCAACGATGATGTGTACAGCTGCCCACAGAACCAGGTCCACAATCACCACAATCTCACTCAGAATCGTAGGTGTCCCGGAAACGATGCTGCCACACTCAGTCTTCAGCTTTGACAGTTGGCTCTTACTAGTAGACATATCTCTGGCAAAGACTTTGGATCCCTGGTTCCGCTCAATCGCTTCTTCAATACGAGCAATATTAAAGTTGCGTAAGTCTCGCCGCATGCATTTGGAGATATGTCTGTTCAGTTGCCTGTATTCTGTCAAATCTGTTGACGATTGCAGCCTCATCTCCCGTCTAACAGCCATGAGATTAAGAGTGTGATCGGCGAGTTTTTGGGTTCTTCTGCGGCGGGTCTTGCAGAACTTAGCTCCGACCGCATGGACAGTTTCCACGAGCTTGTCATTCATACGTGACTTATGAAAACTACTAATTGAACATGGCCAGTTAACCAATTGTAAACGGTAATTAAAATATTTATCAAAAATATTAAAAATATACGTCCATACATAATCTTTGTAATACTTACCGAAAAAAAGATATTCCATCCTTTTTTTAGTCACATTTTTATCGGAATTAGTACACTTTTTTATTAAACAAGTTGGTATTTTGACAATGCAATGAGCTCGCATTTGACAGCACTGAGCTCGCGTTGGTGCTCGAAAAACATTTTAGCACCAAAGAGTCGGTGCCATTCCGTTTGTTTAATGATCCGGTCCATACGCAGTAGTATAATAAGTCTATGGATGAATTCACAAAATTTAAAAGTGTTTGGGTACAAACAACCAATTAAAAAAATTGATCATATACAAACTTTTTTAAATTATCTGTATGATTACAAAAAAATGAAGTATGAAGACAGTCTTATTTTGTATTCTCGGAGAAAGACTGTTTTTTTTGGTTTTCTATTATGTATCAAAACTTAATGAAAATCACGTCCAACCAAGAAGATACAATTTCTTTGTACATACAAGCTAAGTCAAGACCACATAAAATGCTTTTATGGCACTAACTAACACGAGTCACGAGCATAGGGTGGTCGGTTTAAGGCGGTTTATAAACATAGACTTATTATACTATTGCGTACTTATTAACGAAAGCTTGTCCGTGGAGAGTTAAAACACATCACAACAGGTAGTTGTTTTGTTTTGAATGATACAAATATTTTGACTGCTACACGACCAGAAATAGCATTGAATGCCACTAATATTGGCAATTTTTGTATTGAGTCTGAAACCGTCACTGAAGGAAACTACTCTACAGTTGTACCAAGTGATCACTGGATCTTACCATCTTAACTGAATTTTCGCGACAAATCGTACGTTATATAGTGGGATTCGTTGTTCATAAAATGCAGTCAGAAATACTTGTAACGAAATTTTTACTTGAATTCCCAGAGTGGAAGGTGCAGTCAGCCGTGGCACGGTTTATACTGATACTGATACTGAAAATGTCGCCGAGTACCGAGACACATTTGTGTTTGAAGTCGAGATTTTGTTGAACAAAGTCTAGGACTAGGGGCGACTAAATCTAGTCCAGTTCAATCCCCAGAAGACACAAGTTTTACGCTAAAAAGATCCGTTCCGATCCAATTGACTTGACTCACTGGCACTGAACTTTTATTTAAATAGTGTAAGTTATGATGTAAAATTGGTGGAGTGAATAAACAAATATTTATTAAGAACATTACTGACACTACAGCGGATGCTCAACTTACTTGATCTTGATCACTATCAGCAAGAAAACAACGCACTGCACTATACATAGAGCAATACAGTTCGACCAGTCGTAACATGTCCCCGCCTCAATCAGATACCGGTGTAACGTGAAAGACCCAGTCACATGATAACACCAAAGTAAGCAAACCAACAACAACAGTACTCATTTCAATGTAACAGGGTAGCCACTCAGCAACACGATCTTTACTTCAGCGGGCATAGTAACGACAGTGAGACTCGCAGAATTAGACTAATCCCTATTATTCGTCAGCGAGATACTTCATACTCCTAGAATGGGTGGAAGATTACAGCTCTAACCTTATTTCTTCATATTTTCTTTTATCTTTTTACCCTCGTTCCTAACATTATTATAAGACATTCTTTTTAGGGTTCCGTAGTTACACAACAAGAAATTCTTATAGTATGCCATGTCCATCGATCCGCGGTTTTACTCTGTAATTTGGCGTAGTTATAGATATCAGTCACGCCTAAAAGACTGCGTAATAAAATCTTAAAAATCATTTTTCTTTTGGGTACTTCCCATACAAGCACTTAAATCACTTTTTTCCCTGTATATTCCATCGTGTTGGATAGATCTTTTAAAAGCACTGGGAGATTTCTACTCAGGGCAAAATATTCAGCTTTAAAGTGTCATTTTTCATTAGAGTTGTGTATTATTATTAAAAAAAAAAAACTATCACAGCTAAGTAGAATTAAGAACTTCTCGAGTAATAATCGACCAACTTATAGTATGCACTTGGTTTAGTAAAAATTTCGTTTTAACTATAGAAAATGATCTAAAACTAGCTGTATTATAACTTTAGGCTAATTTAGGAAATCGCGGGATGTGGCTCAGAACTGTGTTTTATACTGTACAAACTAAGTGGAGGCTTCTTCCTTGTGGAGGCTTGTGTTCAGCACTGAACTTGTGATGGACAACAGTCAAACATAATGTACTTACTTAACTTAAGATATTGTTACTTATAAGCGATATCACACTTTGTGCTAGCAGCGTCTTCACATAGGCCTTCCGAAATCCAAAAAGTTCATTGACTGTCTGGTGAAATCGTCGATGCACCGTTGCCGCTCATAATTTTTAGTTGCAGAACATATTTTCAAGAAAAAAAAATCATTTTTTTTTCTTGAAAATATGTTCTGCAATTATAAATGGTAAAGAACATTTGTTTTTATTATAACAAATATTTGTAATTAACAAGTTTGTTGTATTAATTTAAGTGCTGTGATTATAAATAAACCCATAACGGGGGAAACGGAACAATATCTGGTAACCCAGCAAAAGTAGCTACTGTCTATTTCTATCTCAAAAGCGTACGAAAATGCTTTATCTATTCAATCCTCTATCTACGGTTAAGTCTGACAATTTTTGATACTGCAACCAAAGACAATATAATCACTACGTTTAGGAGGCGGAACTCCCTTAGGCACCTCCAGACAATCAAAATATTGCGCAATGTTACGAATTGTCAATATTATTGACCATATAGGGTTGACATTGAAGATTGCGCAATGATTGAACGAAAGTTTGAGCGGGATTAATTTTTATTGCAGTATATTTTTCCATTTCATTGTGTGGGGTCAGTATTGCGCAATATTTTTTAATCTGTGTTTCATATTGACGAGAAGAAAACACGCGTGCGTCGTCGTCGAATGTATCCAATTGTACAGAGAATTACCGTCTCTGTGGAATGTCAAGAGAAAAAAATATCATCACCGTGAGAAAAAAAACGCTGCTTACGAGACATTATTGTCTCAATACAAAGAGATGTTTCCATAGACAAGCAAAGATAATCTGAAGATTTAATTCAATTTTTTGAGAAATAACTACCGGAAGGAGCTCAAGAAACACCTTGGGTTGATAAAATCCGGATCTAGTACAGACGATATATTTTTTACAAGTTCAGGAATCCGCATCGGATGCACAGTCTGGTATGGACAAAGACTATAATTCTCTGTGGGTATGGATAATCAGTCTATTATATGTAGTCCGGGAGGAGAGGGTGAACGTTCTAGTTTGTACAATAATTATGCACAGGTAATTTTTTTTTAAATTCATACAAAATTGTATGTTTTACGAGAGCATTTTTCTTGCCAGGTAACTGCACCTTCGTTATTACAAAATCCATTGTACTGTTTCTTTTTTTTATTATTGATATTTTCCAATGATGTCAACGGGAATACTTCCTGAGATGATGGGTGTATTATTCCTGATATTATTTATCTTCACGAAATATGAATGATGGAAATAAATAGAAACGGGATTTCCTCAAAAATTGTGTAGATAACAACAATAACAACAAATCAAAACAATTTTCCTTACTTTTATGGAATCAAAAGGAAATGCTCTTTAAAATACTCTAAGACGAGTAGCTAGTATACCGACAATACTCTCAGCCATCGTTCTGGTTCGCGCCATTCGATAATTGTATATTCTTTTCTCTTTTGTTAATCCAGTTTGGCTATGTGGTTTCAGTAAAACAAAAAACTCAACAAAAAAAGTATGGAAGTTTTCGGGAAGTTCCAGGCAACAATGCAGGTGGTGGGATATTTAAAGCATTTTTTTATAATTGCTTTCCAAATGTTGTATTCTGCTACACACCTCCGTCTGATACACGACCATTCGTCCCAACATGAACCATAATGAAGTCGTTGTTTGAATTTACAACCGCCACCAACACAATACTTAATGTTTTTTGTAGTTATAGCAGTATGATCCAGAACCAGGAGGTTTCTTTATTTCCACGTGTTTGCCATCTATAGCACCGATTACATGTGGAGCATTCAACTGGTTCTCAAAATCTTTGACAATTTGTTCCCAAAAACAAATTATTTATATTTTTAGGAGGATACTAAACTGTAGGAGAAAACTTGAACTTAAATTCTTTAAATTGAAAACTTGATGATGACCTTATGCAATTGGCAGCTAAGCGTCTTAGAGAAAAACCAGACGAATATCAAAAATGGGCTTTATCTTGTGTTGCAGATTTACAGAAAATGGAACTAATGCAACAAATATTTGCTAAAAAAGTGGCCATTATCCTGATAGAACATTTAGGACGTTTACAACGCAATTCGCTAAAAATAAAATACTCCAACAGTGACGATAACTCTATCTCCGACATATACCAGACCCACGTCTACTCAAAAAAATTACATTATAAATTACCTCGATATTTTATAAACTATTCTCAACGGCAAGATTCTGAACTTCCACCTGAGCAGCTGCCACATAAGCAGCAGAACATGTATTACTTCCGGCAGGATAATCAGGAGAATATGAAAAATTTTCAACAGGAAAATGATGCTAATGACTCCTCAATAGCGAACGAAGGTTCATTATCTCAATATATACAGTCTAATAAATAAATGAAATAAAATAGTCTATATGTACCTTGATTAATTCCTTCAAATCATGAATTATCGCATCGCAGGTTTCCATAATTATTAAGGAAATACTTTGTAGGGAAATAGCACCGTGAAACTTTATATCTTCTAGAGTATTTCCTGTCGCTATATACCGTAATGTTATTGAAAGCCGTTAAAAAGGTAGTATTGCTTCCCTCATATTTGTATTTTTTCCTCAATCAATGGTGTGACAAATTCTATTAGAATTAAAACTATTGCAAGTTCAGTCATACAAAAGTTTTGAAGTCTGCTTCCTCAGTTAAGATCAAGTAATTTAAAAGATTTTCGAAAGTTTATTTCTGCCTTTTCTTGTAGCAATCTTTCGACCAGCGGCGTGTTCATTTACGTTTACGTTTAGCCACAAGCAAAAAAACACGTATGGTGCACAAGGGATGAATACTAATATCCGACTGAACACGAAAACATTGCATAGTTCGTATTATTGTGCAACATAATTGATCGACGGGATTCAGAGCGTCTTTCAATCTTAATGTACAATAAAATGTACATTAAGATTGAAAGACGCTGTACAATGTTATTGTAGGTCTAGCGGTCGCCTTAGTAAAAGTAAATAGACGAAAGGGCGCCAAACTACTCTACCAACATCAATATATGACATATATTTTTGAAAAACAGTAGTGACAACATTTCCGAATTATACTAGTACTGTAAATGTCTACCTCAAATAATTTTATTGGTACAATGTTATTGTAGGTCTAGCGGTCACCTTAGTAAAAGTAAATAGACGAAAGGGCGCCAAACTACTCTACCAACATCAATATATGACATATATTTTTGAAAAACAGTAGTGACAACATTTCCGAATTATACTAGTACTGTAAATGTCTACCTCAAATAATTTTATTGGTACAATGTTATTGTAGGTCTAGCGGTCACCTTAGTAAAAGTAAATAGACGAAAGGGCGCCAAACTACTCTACCAACATCAATATATGACATATATTTTTGAAAAACAGTGCTGACAACATTAGCGAATTATACTAGTACTGTAAATGTCTACCTCAAATAATTTTATTGGTACAATGTTATTGTAGGTCTAGCGGTCACCTTAGTAAAAGTAAATAGACGAAAGGGCGCCAAACTACTCTACCAACATCAATATATGACATATATTTTTGAAAAACAGTGCTGACAACATTAGCGAATTATACTAGTACTGTAAATGTCTACCTCAAATAATTTTATTGGTACAATGTTATTGTAGGTCTAGCGGTCACCTTAGTAAAAGTAAATAGACGAAAGGGCGCCAAACTACTCTACCAACATCAATATATGACATATATTTTTGAAAAACAGTGCTGACAACATTGGCGAATTATACTAGTACTGTAAATGTCTACCTCAAATAATTTTATTGGTGTACTGTTTATTGATATACGGTTTATCGACATTTTTAAAACTTAGATCTTGAAACAGATAGTCTTGTGATCCATCTCACGCCCGCAACAGTGATCAACCAATTACTGGCCCCCTTTCTTATACCACATTTGTTGGGTTCGGGAAACAACGTGGTGGGTGCGACCCCTGAGTAAGACGTTCGACTCATAACCTTAACAAATAATTAAAAGAAAGGGGTAGTCGTCAACACAGATTACGGGTCCTTAAGGAATGGTCCTGGTTTTGACTGAATTAGTCGACTGTCCCTTATTCCCTACTTTTGGGGTGCACAGTGAAGGAGTCTCCAAAAAAAAAACGAACTTCAAAAAGAAACGAAAAGGGGAATTTATGAACAATCTTTCATAAATGCCAAGGCCGCCTGGAGGAGTGGGATAGGCTCTTTTCTTGGAGCTCCCAAATCGTATCGGTCCGGAAATATCTCTGGTTGTAGTTGATTCCACAAGGAAGTTGTGCGAGGACGAAAACTTTTTTTAAATCGCTTAGTGGTGGACCATATGGTATGGATGGTATCGCGAGTTTTATCACGATTTGCGATAGTAAAACTGTGCGGCTGGAATACTACACTGACATTGTTTAATAACGTCTTTGAAATAAACAAAAATATGCTACTTCTTATAATATAAATTGGCGAAACAGCCTAAAACACCTTGTGTTTGACTGGTTTTACTTTTTACTTTAAAAAAAAATAAAGTGAAAAATAAAAATTAGCTTGCAGGCACATAATCTTTAAATTTAAAATAAAACTTCAGCCTATTCAACTAGGCTTTGACACTAAAGGTGGCTATGAGGCGGTGGTACATTCAGTGCGTACTTTTTTAACAAATTTTAATGCAGATGTTCTTGTAAAGGTTGATCTTAAGAATGCGTTCGTTGCTGTCCTCTGCAGGGCATAAATGCCGTGCAGGTCTCGGGCCTCGGGGTGTACCCCTTTACCCGGATGTTCCTCACGGCACACTACAATGTGCCGGTCCTGGGCGCCTTGCCGGTCCTGGGCGCCTTCTTAAGAATGCTTTTTACTCTACCGACCACCATCATTTTTCATCTACCAGAAAGAAGTGACTTAAAATTTATGATTAAGTTTTGGCAATGTTAGTCAAAACTCTAACTTGTTTTATGTAAACTACATTATTGATTTTGCTGTCTGTGTTCAGCAGCTTGACCCAGTAGGTCCAGCTCTTTTTAGTTTAAAAATTCAACCTATTATTTAAAATTTGAAATCCAAGCTGAATGTCTGGTACCTGTAAGACGGTACACCGGGAGGTAAAGTGGATCACGTCCGCATTGATTTTGCTGATATTTTTCAAAATTTTACAAATAGCAATAAATATGAAATATTTATTTCCAATCATTTATCTAGTTCTAAAAGCGATACTTTAATTCAAAAGGAGACGGGCGAAAGTTCATAGAAAGCTGGGCCTGATGTTACAGTAACGATTACTGCATTATTTTATTTATATACCAATAACATTTCAAAAAAACTAAAATGTTTACAATTGATTCATGGTAGAAAAAAATATAGGATGTTATTGATTTGTATAAAAACAATGTTATTGCTTACGTTACGCTTACAATATAATTCTTACACCAAGCTCTCACATTACACTTTAAGAAAATATTTATTAGACTTTATTGTAAACTAGACTTTAACGTAATTTTATGTATTGTAAGACATTCACACATATGTAGAGGATTCAGACGCCGCCGTCCGACTAAATTCTAGAGGTTTGAAATAATTATAAAAAAGCCGAGGGAGTATGAATTAAAAATTCTCTTTTATTGATTTATTAATCGTCCACTTCATCATAAACAGATGAAATATCGTCTAAAAACGGTGCATGCGGTATTAAATTCTCTTGACGCCTTGCCCAGCTTAGGTACCATATTATGGACATTACATGACAACAGCAACCTACAGTTCTTTTTCCTACCAAGCAATTAAAATAATACTGTTTGATGGCCTCTCCACCATTAAGAGAACTGTCAACTAAAATATATGTAAAATATGTTTTTGAGCTTAAGTATGTCTCTATTTTATTCGACCACTTAATAGCCAGCTAGAATAGTTGGATATTGACAGTTCTCTTAGTAGGTTGCTGACCGTTTCTCGACACACTTCTATTTCATATCTCCCATCTTGTATGTGTTCCCCATAATGGGACCTAGCCTACTTAATTTGATAAATACCTAAAGATATTTTTATTAAATCACTGTGTGTGAGCTGGGGAAAATCATTTATCATTTTGCACATGTATTCTTGTAAAATCAGTAAAGAAACCGTCAAAATCCTTTATATGTAGCCAGAGTCGTTAAAGATCAGAATATTATTACAGCACACAAAAACAACAGAAAATATTCACTACCACCGTGAACTCAGAGACAAACAAACGTAACAAAAGATTTAATTGACGCTTGAGTTTTTGAACAAACGTTGACATTTTCGCTTTGTGGCCTGTATAAAACATTGATAATCGATTGTAAAATCGATTTATTAATCTATTCAGTCAATTCATTTTTACGACTTTTTTGAAACCTTGAAGTGTCACTAGGAAACCATTATTTAAATAATAATTTTCTTAAACTTACCTAAAGAAGAAAATAATGAATTACTTTTTATTCTTTTTTTATTTTTGTGTCAAAATCGGTTAACTAACCTATTTCATCCGGCAGTATTGTTTAAAAATGAAAATAACGGAAGTCAGTATTATTTTTATTTAATAGTTATTTTCTTTTGCCATGATAAAGCTTAATATTTCATTATTAACTACAAAAAAACTGTAAAAAAATATTGATAAATATTTTACTTGTATAATGGTTAATATCCAAATTCGCCCGTCTCCTTTCAATCATATTTCTCAAGGAATAAAAATTGTCAATGCGGAATTGCTATACCTGCTAAGTACCCCGATGTTTTTCGATAGTAATAAACCTGTTTTAAAAACAAAAGATCAATTTTAAACCACGTTGATAAATTGTATAACTTAAACCCCCAAATTTTGCGTACTTTAACTTCGACGTACGTAACTACGGCGTACTAAAAAATATTTTCTTCCTGTTCCTAAATTTACGTAGTATACCTTTGAGTCCAGTCTGAAAATCTTCGGATATTTAAAAAAATATTGATAATAATCTTAAAATAGCTTTAGAAAAATTCTAAATTTTACTTTAAATATAACAGCCTGATATCAAGCTACTTTACCTGTAAAACTTGGTGGTATTATTGGTTTAAGAAATCTTTCTAGCGTTGCATTGCCTGCTTTCCTTGCTTCCGTGCATAGTGTCAATGACTTATGTACATATATTTTAAATAATAAAGTAGACCTTTGTTTTGTTGTGGAGGCAAGGCAAACATGGCTAACGCTCTGTCCCGGTAAAAATATCCCACTGGAAGTTTACCAACAAAAACAGTGGGATATTCCGTTGGTACGGAGTGTGCAGAAAGATTTATTTCACAATTTCCACAGTGACCAAGATCAGGCTCAAAATCTAGCTGTTTCGACTAAGAAATAAAGTCACTAGTTACAAGCTGTGCCATCAAGTAATCTC